AATTTCTCTCAACAGTGGTTTGTAGTTCTCATTTATAGCGATTTTTCACATCCTTGGTTAACTCAATTCCCAAGTATTTTATTTTTTTGGTGGCTATTGTAAATGGGCAGGTTTTGATTTCTCTTTCTCCGTGTTCCCTATTGGAGAATAGAAATGCTACTGATTTTTGTGTGTTGATTTTGTATCCTGTTACTGTCCTGAAATCATTTATCAATTCCAAGAGTTTTTTTGTAGAGGCTTTAGGCTGTTCGATATATAGGATCATGTCATCTGCAAACAGGGACAGTTTGACTTCATCTTTTCCAATCTGGATGCCCTTTATTTCCTTCTCTTCTCTGATTGCTCTGGCTAGTACTTCCAACACAATGCCGAATAGGAGTGGTGAGAGTGGGCATCCTTGTCTGGTTCCTGTTCTTAAAGGAAAAGCTTTCAGCTTTTCCCCATTCAGGATGATATTGGCAGTGGGTTTATCATATATGGCTTTAATTATGTTCAGATAATTTCCATTTTTACCTAACTTATAGAGGGTTTTTATCATGAATGAATGTTGAGTTTTATTAAATGCTTTTTCAGCTTCTATAGAGATGATCATATGGTCCTTGTGTTTGACTTTATTAATATGGTGTATCATATTTATTGATTTGTGTATGTTGAACCAATCTTGCATCCCTGGGATGAATCCCACTTGATCGTCGTGAATGATTTTACGTATGTGTTGCTATATTCTGTTTGCTAGTATTTTAGTGATTTTTGCATCTATATTCATCAAGGATATAGGCCTGTAGTTTTCTTTTGTGGTTGTATCTTTACCTGGTTTTGGTATCAGGATGATGTTTGCTTCATAGAATGAGTTTGGGAGATTTGCGTCTGTTTCAATCGTTTGGAATAATTTGTAAAGAATTGGTGTCAATTCCTCTTTGAATGTTTGGTAAAATTCTGCTGTGAATCCATCTGGTCCTGGGCTTTTCTTTGTTGGGAGCCTTGTGATAACAGCTTCAGTCTCCTTTATTGTTATTAGTCTGTTCAGATTTTCTACGCCTTCATGGCTCAGTTTTGGGAGCTTGTGTGTGTCCAGAAA